AAAATGTAGAGACTGGATCCAAGATGGCAGACGAGGCTGATATGCCACCCAGGTCCTTTAGAACAAAACCTAAGAAACCACTTGAAACAGATAGGCATGGATTTTTGGAACCCCGGACTTCAAAAAGAAAGAATAAAGTAGTTGTTCAACTCCTGATTAGAGGAAGAGACACATGATCACACTGCTCAGAAATCTACATAGATATGTTTTTCTTGTTGGCTATCATCTAGTCGCGTCCCTCGCATAGCAAACCCGTGTGCAGCAGGCTGCAACACTCCCGAGGACACTGTCCTCACTCCTGTTGTTATGTTTGAGACCAGTCTTCATATTGCTTCACATCAAAACAAACCAAAATCTGGGCATCCTAGATTTTGGGGTAATTACATTTTATGTCAACTTGAGTGGGGCAAGTTTCTCCCATGATATCTAAACAGCATGGTCAACTCCATAATGAGATGTTTTGTGATGCATCCAAGCAGTTGTGGGGAGAATTGTTGTTAAGTGCCAAGACAGAATGAAACACTGCCTGGCCCTGTGCCATCCTCACAATTGTTATGTTTGGGTTCATTGTTGCAGCCACTGTGTGAATCCCTCTCATCAGTGCTCTCCTGTCTTCTTGCTGCCCTTGTACCTTACCAAGCATGGTGTCCTTTTCCAGGGACTGATTTTTCCTGATAACTTTTTCAAAGTATGTGAGATGAAGTCCTGCTATCCTTGTTTCTATGGAATTTTCTAGATGTACTTCCAAGACAGATTAAAAAGGTCAAAATTAAATGAATCTCCATCCAGAGATGTCAGTTGATTTACAAAGTACAGAGTAACAAAGTAACAAGAGGAAATAAGTGGTGTAGTTACAGAACTTGGAGAGGAAGTCAAGGCAAAATCAAGATAGAACAGACTGTTTAAAACTTGAGAAAACAATAAATTATAAGGTGACCTAAAAATTAATAAATCTCATTTAAAAACCATGCTCAGTAAATATTAAAGCAACTGCATGGAAAGAAATGATGAGTCCATAAATAAAATAAAATAACGGTAAAATAATGGAGAAAAGAAACCATCAGCACCAAAAAAGAAAATATAAAACGCCCCCATACATTAAAATAATCCAATACATTCATAAGTATTGATGATTACACTGAAAGTAAGTGGATGAAGTGCACCAGTCAAACAAATCAAAATCGAACTCACTGCCATTGAGTCAATGTTGACTCGTAATATCCTTATGGAGAGGGTCAAACTGCCCCTCTGAGTTTCTGAGACTGTAACTGTTTATGGGAGTAGAACCCCCCCTCCCTCTTTCTCCCACCGAGTGGCTGGTGGTTTCAAACTGCTGATCTTGCAAATTGCAGCCCACCGCTCTACCACCAGTAGCAAATAGATTACGAAAAACATGACCCATCAATATGGTGTCTACAAATGACATATCTTAGACACAAACACAAAAATAAACTAAAAATCAAAGGATGAGAAATAATATCAGGCAAACGGCAACCAAAAAGGAACTGGTATGGCAATATTTCTAATGAAGTAGACTTTAAGGCTAAAGATAAATAAGGTCATTGTATAATGAATAAAATATCAGTCTAATAATACGATATAAACATAAGTATAATGTGTACACATCCAAACAAAGAGCTCCAAAATATGTAAATCAAATTTGAAATGAGAATTAGACAATTCAATAATAATGCTGTAGTTAAGTGTCATGTTGATTCTGTCTCTACATGTACAACAGAATGAAACATAGCTCAACCCAGCTACCCCTCGCAATTGTTCCTATGTTTGAGCTATTGTCATAGCCCCTGTGTCAATCCATCTTGTCAAAGGCCTTCCTCTTTTTTGCTACTCCTCCACTTTACCAAGCATGCTATCCTTCTCCAGGGGTTGGTTTCTCCTGATAGCATGTCCACAGTTGTAGTAGGAGAGTTTAATACACCACAGTCTATGAAGGACAGATTAACTAGAAAAAAAACTCATCTAAGATACAGAATATTTAAACAACATAATCAACAATTTGTCCTCAAAGACATATACAGAACACTCTACCCAATATACCTCATTTTCTGGAGCACACCAGACATTCTCCCAGATTGCGAGTTAGTACACAGAGCAAGCCTTAATAAACGTAAAATACTACAAAGCATCTTCTCAGGTCACAATGCTATAAAATTAGACCTCAGTAACAGGATGATCGAAGGAAAAATTAAACACATTGGAATTTTAAAACACCATGTTTAAACATTTGGAGTAATAGAAGAAATGTAAAATGAAATGATATTTCTTGACTCAAACAAGAATGAAAACATGACAAAACCTTTCAGACACAACAAAAGCAATGCTAGAGGATAACTTATAGCAATATATGCACACGTGAAAAAAGAAGAACCTAAGTCAACACCTTAACCAAACTTCTCCAGTAATTAGAAATGCAACAATGGGGAACAAAAGAAAGTACCTATACTCACCAGAAGACAGGGGAAAATGAAGATTAGAGCATAAATAAAATAAATGAAAAGGTAAAACTAGAAACAACAAAAAGAAGTTGGCTCATTGAAAGGATTAATAAAATTGACAAACCACTGGCAAATTTAACAAAGGAAAAGAATAAGGAGCTGTAAGTAAGAA